ACAGTCGTGTTGACCAAGTTATAGCATTTTAGTGATATTAGGCAATACTCATTTATTTTTCCAATAGTAATTTACTCTTGTACATTTTACATTATATGTATTGTATTGTATCCTCATCAAAAATATCTAAAAATACTTCCATGTTATTAAAAAAATATACATATTAGTTTAATAAATCTATTCTTTTGTTCCTTTCAATTGGCGAAAGATTTTATATTAATTTAAACTTTTAAAAAGTAGTATTTGCGAAATTTGACGATGGGCCACCTATTTTTTATTTTTTGGTTTAGTTATCGATTTAATTTTTTTTTTATTGAAAACAGAAAGAGGTGGAATTTTTAAACTTGGACATTATTAGGACATTTGTAGGGAATTAAAATATGTAGTCATATTAGTTGTGGCGCCAACCAAGACAGACAAACGACATACATTTTTTGTTTTTTTTTATAGGCATCATATTTCTTAATTAAGCGTATTATTATTATTTTTCTTATTATTATTATTTATTTTTTGTTTCCATCAAATCAAAATTAATAATTTCTACAATTTTGCCCGTTCATTTAAATTTTCATTAACATATCAAAGTTAAGATAAAACAAAATGCAATTTTCGCCTGAAATAGAGCCAAATTAATTAATCTGTAAATTTGAAACATATAGATTTCGACTTGGCAAAACAAAGTTGCCTTTTCAATTCCCCTGAATGTCTGTGAGTTTTAAGAAAATAATATACCATCCTTTATTTCTCCCCATGAACATTTTTTTACACGACGATTAATTTCCGAGACATTAAGCCGTTTCCATTAAAATGAAAATGAGACAATTGGTATTTCAAGTAATGCGCTATTTTTATCGATCCTGTTTTACATTCGACAATAAGTAATAAACAGCGTTAATTAATATTGACATAAAATAAATTAATATATCACGAACGTATTCTAATTAAATACATAAAAATTCAAAACAATTAATGAAGAGATAAGGAGCTATTTTTATATGAAATTATTATAAATGCAATAAAATAATAAATAATGTTTCCATTAACCATTTGATAATTTCAGAATTTTATTGGGGGTAATAAATTTTATGCTAAACAATTCGAAATAAACTTATTACTTGTAATTTTATGTTTCAGGTACACATCAAACTGGTAATAATACTTGTTTTATTATTAGAATATAAAAATTATTCGTTCCTATTTATGTAATTTTGTACAAGTTTACTGCTACACATTTAATTGTCGTCCTTAATGGATGTATACATTTATCCAGGATAAAATTAGAACAGATCTATCTCATTTACCTATTTCCGTACAAGTTCCTGCAAACCTATATCTGAATATCTCCTTTGCTCACGTGCTACATTTACAAGAATCCAGTAATCACGTACTCCTTGTTTGGACTATAATAGGGTATACGTTTCCTTTTTTAATACTGTACTTATGAATATCGACAAAAACCTGCTCAAATACCTTATATGCGATATTTATTGCAACCTCTACTATCGCGATTTATAGTCGCTGTTGTTTAGGTACCATCTGCAACTTATTTATTAAAAAAAAACCTCACATCCATTGTTGTTTAGTGGTTGTCATAGATGAAATCGTAACATCAATCTAGTTTGAGTATTGGAGAACGAATCTATTGGCAGAGTAATAATAAATCACTTTGTTCAAGAATGAAATCATCGGATCACTAAAATGATTATAAATCTCCTTCCTTTAGCGTCTTGTACAGGACCGTAAATAAATGTACATATTTTGAACGTGTTTGGTCAATATTGAATTTTAAATTATATGAAATTTAGCTCAAGGATCTTACCATAAACGATAATAAATAAAATCAGATATAGCTACGTAGAATGTTTAATATTGAACTGCGTACATATTGTTACGGCGAGTATTGAAAGACCATTTAAAAAACTCCTGTGTTGATGAATTTATTTTTGGAATAATTTATGTATCTTTGAAGACCAAGTCAAATTTCAGTACGGGAAAATTTACATAAATTTGTAATTAGAAGAGTTCACCCTGTATAGTTTTCTGGTAACACGTATTTTTAAATCAACTGTTCAATAATATTGTAGCAGTGAGAATTGGAACTAATCTTCTGTATAGTCTTTCCGAAGTCAGTTGAACATGCATAAAAACGCCTAGTAATAAAATTTAATGAGTTTCATAGGCCTCCCTAAAAAAATTTCTATTATATGTTCATTTGACCAACAACATATTTTTATTATTTATGTCCTCAAACATTTTTATTATGTATTGATGGCAGAGCTGGGTAATTCCTGGTGAAAAAGTAATTAGCAATTACAATTCCCTTTTTTTCCCTGTAATTCTAATTGTATTTAAGTACTATTTTTTATTAAAGTAATTTGGAATTGTAATTACAGCAAAATTGTTATAGAAATTGTAATTTGTAATTATATTATTTGAACTATCGAATTACAAATTACTTCTATAAGTACAAATACTTTTTCCAATTACAGTTACTTTTTCTAATAATTATAATTACTTTTAAGATCATGCGTATTGCGTAATTGCGTACAGACTTGCAGACTTCTATTATTTCATTTGAGGAAAGCCTTGTGCCGCGTGAACAATAATAAGTGATTTGGTGAATTAACCTCAGAATTAACAGAGTACATTTTATTTTATTATAATTATTATTAATTTAGAAAATATACGAAGTAAAAATATGTTGTCTATAGCATCAAGTTTTATAAAAATATATATTACGTATCTATGTGTATTCAGCCTTTCACTCGTACTTGTTTGATTCGTAATTTTTTTAATAATAATTATTGCTTTCCAGTCTACCCAAAACTACTGTATTCTATATTTTGCAAATGTACTAACAACCAAAAAAAAGAGCATCGGGTTGAATTAATTGCCTGACCAATAATATAAAATTATAGTATTAACTGAACTAGTTTAAATTATTAGATTAGGAATAAAAATATAAAAATTCTATATTAGAAAATGAATAAGAATAATTTTTTCATTTTAGTATCAATTCTAATAAATAATAAAACGCAATATTACACAACACTTTTAATTTAAATTTTTAACTTAACTTTTTCCTTTTTCTCTGTTTGGTCACTATAATTTACTTTATCATAAAAGTAATTAGAAAAGTAATTAGAAAAGTAATTGCTAAATCCATTTTCCGTGTAACTGAAATTAAATTAATATAATTCCTTTTTTAAAGAATATACTTTGTAATTGTAATTAGTTCCTTTTTTTAAAAAGTAATTTGTAATTGTAACTATTTTTAAATTACAAGTAATTACCCAGCTCTGATTGATGGTAAATTTCGTTTTGTTCCGTTTCAAAATGCCATATTGTAATAATATTAGTAAACAAAATATCCCTCTTATTTCTCCCTTTCGCAATTGGAATATGAATGATTAATAGAATCACACCAAATTTCGCATTGCTTCACTGCACTGCTAGGCCATTTGTTGACAACTGAATTTATGGCCAGGTCGCCGAGTGCGGCTGTGTTTGTGCCGCGTTTGCCCGCGCGCTCATTGTTCAACTGGGCGACCAAACCTGTATATGGGTATGGCTAAATAAATATGGGAACAAGTTTTTCAAATATTTCAGTGCTGCATTTTCGAGTTGCTGCGTCAGCGATCGAATCTGGTACATACTGTCAACCTCTTGGTTCTTCAATTAAGATCAGAAAGACTATACCAATAGTGCCAAAACTTCCTATTTCACTCACTGATCATTGACCAAGAAATGTCTGTATTTTTTACATTTCTCATAACATATTGAAGGTACATGCATGTGGCAAAAACCATGCATTTTGTTTTTTTGTCACGCTGTTTTGACTTTGAAATAACAATGAAATTCCGATAATACATTTTTTTAATCACCTTTCCAATATTATTTAGCAGTAACAACCATAGCTATTATTCGCGTAATTTATTTTTGTTTTAGTAATACCACAACTTCTTCCTGTAATTTTACGCTCAAGATTAAAAATTCCAGTTATATTTGGAAAACTTTTATATGCTTGTCTCATCGGTAAAGTTCCCGTTGTATATATTTCAGGGAGTTTCAGTATCTACATTAGAATTTAGTTTCTGCATTGGATTAAGTAATTAAATGTCCTACAATGGTATTTCCCTTTTACTACAGTTAACGAAATCTTCATTACAATCATTGAAAATTTGTAATCTAAGTAAAAGTAACAATTATTTTCCTTCTCTTAAAGAAAAATTAGGAAAAAGTCTTAGTATACTTTAATCGTATTATTCTACATTGTCGTAAAAATAATAAATTTTCAAAGTTTGTATTATTAGAAACTCACATTATAATGTTTTCAACTGTTTTTAAGTGAGAAAATGTTCTCAATAGGATCTACTAGCTTTTGTTCCTAGTGCATTAGAAATAGTTTTATTGGAAACAATGAGTTTATAACATAACGTAAGCATTATATCGGAATGAGCATACTTCTGGCTATTGGAAACTGTCTTGGATTGCGGTAGAAGCAAAGCTATAGCAACTGAAGCATGGACATATTGGATATAACTGTTCTCAGTGCTAAAATGTTATTGATTAAAAGTGTTAAGGAATTCCACTGTTAGTTCAAAAGTTAAGGAAGTAATTCATGTACTTTTAATGATAATGAATTAGTAGAAAAATACACAGGGTGAACTTTACTGTTGACCACAAAAAAGACTGGGAATTTTACCAAAACCGTTCTGGAATTTTTGAATTGTAAAATCAAATGTGATTGGTATTTTAATTTTAGAAGCAGACGCCTATGATTAAAATTAAATTTGGTTATATCAAAATAACAGCTTTGCAGACAATTACTTCAAACTAAAATGTCGAAACATTTTTTATGGTTTAAAAATACTTGTTTCTTTCATTATTTGACAACCAATAAATGTATACATCCATATTGTTGACATTGCCCTTCTACTAATTTCGTTAAAAATATTTGTACTAATATGAATATTCCTTTCCGTTTTCTTCCAGCAGACAGCTACCAATACCAACTGCAATCCATGTGGCAAAAATGTTGGAATACCAATCAGAGTCTTGTTCACAACTTGCGCTTCCGTGAGAGAGGGCCGCTGAAGTCCTGGAGACCCGAGACTATGGCCGAGGCAATATTTTCCGTACTCAAAGAAGGACTGTCCTTGTCGCAGGCTGCCAGGAAGTACGATATTCCGTATCCTACATTTGTGTTATACGCTAATCGGGTGCATAATATGCTGGGACCTTCAGCTGACGGTGGATCTGGTGAGTATTTTTTAAGAGGATAATAGTCACAGAGAGTTATCACGTGCCACAGAATAGTCTTTTAGTTTATTTTCCAAATTTAGTTAGAAGACAAAAAAAACGTAAATTATCCAGTTTTTCCTTAGAAAATGTGTTGTTCAGTCAAAAATTTCTACTCCGTCCTTTGACACGATCGAATAAATGTAATTTACATAAAAAGTAAATTTTATTTTAAGGTCCGACAGTAAATCGTACATCCTAGTTCAGATCCGTACTTTATTTTCACATGATGTGACGAAAAATAGACATATTTGTAGAAGCATCATTTTGTATACAACAATGACTTGGAAGTAAAGAAACCAAACATTCTTCTGTGTTAAGGGCGGCAGCAAGCTTTAAATTTTTTTTAAAACACAGCTTGATTTAAGGGAAAAGTATTAACGTGTCAAATTTTTAGTAGCAGTTACGGTATTTTTTAAACCATTCTTATCTATTAAAGCTATCATTTTTCACGAATTAGGTTCTCGTAGCACCAATACAAAAACCATGTTGCCAGCAACTATAAATTCAAGTTATTATTGATGTGTTAGGCTATGATGCTTTGAATTAATTGTTCATTATTTTGGTTGTTTTATGAAATATTAGGGAAACAGCTCATTTACTAGTTGTTGAAAATGTCTAACAAGCAAATAGTAGTGTTTAATTTGAGGAAAATGTAATATTTCATTCATTCCTTTAATGAAAGGGATTGTCTAAAACTTAAAAAATGTAAATGTTATGTTTACATATCCATCTACCTTTTCTGGTGGCTCCTACACAATGTAATCCTAATAAGAACATCGTAATAACTAATATTAACCTTTTTCTACAGACTTGAGGCCAAAAGGACGAGGAAGGCCACAGCGAATATTATTAGGTGTTTGGCCAGACGAACATATAAGAGGTGTTATTAGAGCTGTAGTTTTTCGAGATTCGCATCAAATCAAGGAAGAGCCGCATCTAACCACATATCCTAGGCTGCATGTAAGTGTTTGTATATTATTTTTCTTGTTTTCGTTCAAATTTGATAATTCTTGTGTTGTACTTTTTCGTCTTTGTAAAAATAGTCGGCCTCTGAATGGTACTTTTGATAAATTAATACTCACGGCAACTTAAAAATGCATATAGGTACCTAATGTACAGGGTGGCCCATTTTGGCCGAGATTGCTGTGTACAGGCTAAACAGTGCTAGAGAGAAAAAAATATAGTTCTAACATTCTCTTCTTATGCGCTAGATACGTTTAAACAGATCATGACCAATTCAATTGTTTTTCAATATACAAAGGGTTTCTCGAATCTAGCCGATTTCTATCAGCCCCCTATATCTGAGCTTTTATAAGAGATATATAAAACGCTGTAGTTTTTTTTCTTTATTTCAAATTTTGGGAGAAATGTCATTGAAGTTTATTATTTGTAATGGAACACCACCATTATTTGTAATTTGTTTTTTTATATTACTTTTGCAACACTATAAATAGTCTATATAAATATTACTTTTCTTATATATTACAAAAAAAGTACTTAAAAATTATTAAGTTTATGGTTTTACGAGAGGAATTATTGTTACTAACACACGTACTGAAAACTTTCTACATATGTAAATTCGTCATAATTTGTTGGTTTTATTAATATTTTAAAATTTACATTAAGGTACTCTATTATTTCTTTCAGTGTCCCTGTTCTGAGTTTTGAAAATTTTATTTCTCTGTTACACTTCTTCAAATTTGTCATTATTAGTTATTACAGTGCTTTTAAAATATATTTAGGTATGTCCGAAAATCTGAAAAAATTTTGTTTAGTAGGTACCTACTAACAATACTGAATCGTTTCCACCCTAAATGGACCAACCCCCTCACCCTCCTTTCCCCCTTTATACCCCCTTAAATGCCGGAGAAACCATCGCTTATTAGAGGAATCTTTAAAGAGCTTAGAGATGCGAAAGACATTCAATTCCTATGAATCTTACATATAAAGAGTTTTTTGGTTCGCTGATCACGAGTCTGGTCTCAGAATCACGAAATTCAAAATGGCGGATCCAATATGACGGACAAGAAAATTGAAATGTCTTCAAAATGCACGAATCTTTTTGTAATGGGGTTTTTTGGGTCTATGATCTATGATACGAATCTGGACTCTAAATCACGAAATTCAATAACAAAAATTTCAAATGTCTTCAAAATGCATGAATTTTTGTGTAGTAGAGTTTTTTGGGTCTCTGACCACGAATCTAAAGGCAACATTACGAAATTCAAAATGACGTATTCCATATGGCGGACAAAAAAATTTAAAAGATCTTCATAATCCTCAAATATTTGCTTATAGAAACTTTCCTAGATCACTGATTACAATAATTATGAATTCAGAATCACGAAATTCAAAGTGGCTAATCAAATATGCACAAACATGTATGTATAATTATTGATTTTTTCTAAAGGTAAAGGAGGGTCAGGGGGTTGGTCCGTTTAGGGTGGAAACGATTCAGTATTGGTAGTAGGTACTAAAGAAAAATTTTTCAGATTTTTTCAGCCAAAAACTGGCCTTAGGGGCCCTCCTCCTTTAAAACATAATTTATGAATTTTTTATAACAAATATTCATTTCAACTATTTTCTTAATATTAATAATTAAACATTTAGAAACTTGGAGAAAATATTTGAAAGGTAACTAAATCTTGGTGAAAAAATTTGATTGACAGAAGTGTTTTTTGCAAAAGAATTAGGTACCAAAATGAAAACTTTTTAGAAATTGCTGACTCCACCGATAGCAGGTCTTAACAATTTTGATTATTATTAACTTTAAGCGCCATTTTGCAGCTCCAACTATTTTGATTATGGAGAATGGTTGTTATTAATGCATTCTACCTACCTGTCATTAAAAAAAAATTCTTTAAGTTTGTAAACGCCCTGTATTTTAACAGCACTGTAAGAAAAATTTATAATTTTTACCTCCTTACAAAAAGATGTATGGAGAACTGATTAAATTAGCCAGGATTTGATGCCACCCCAAAATTTAGCTCGAAAAAAGGACCACAGAGTAGTTTTTTTGTCTTGATTTAACCTGTACCCTGCAATCCTATTCAAAATGGACCACCCTGTAGATCGGTGCTGTAATGGTACAACAACGATACATTTGTTGGAATGATTCTACACCATACTTTGACGTTTTTCGCATATTGTGTGTATGTATTTTTTATAAATGCTTTTTATAAAAAAAAAATATGTAATAAGAACAATAATAATTGAAGATTCTGATTTCTATCAGCCCCCAATATCTGAGCTTTTATAAGAGATATATAAAACGCTGTAGTTTTTTTCTTTATTTCAAATTTTGGGAGAAATGCCATTGAAGTTTATTATTTGTAATGGAACACCACCATTATTTGTAATTTGTTTTTTTATATTACTTTTGCAACAATATAAATAGTCTATATAAATATTACTTTTCTTATACATTACAAAAAAGGTACTTAAAAATGATTAAGTTTATTGTTTTATGAGAGGAATTATTATTACTAACACACCAAGCCCCGTGATATTTTTGGCATAGATGTACTTTTTATAAATGCTTTTTATAAAAAAAATGTAATAAGAACAATAATTGAAGATTCTGATGCAAGGAACAGAAATTGAACTCATCAGACAAAATCACTTCCCTGTGATGGACTGGTACAAGAGTGGGAAAAATTACATGTCACTTATTCTGTTTCTACATCACATGTATTGGTTTTTTGAACTTAGTATTTATCTTGACCATTTTTTTACATTTATGTATCGAGAGAGATTTTGACTATTACTTATCCACCTTTTCCCCCCCGAAGTAATTTTAAAAATAAATAACACGTTTTTTGAGCAAATTGTCTCACTTTTTTATATAAATATTTCACTCTAACAACATATTGTCACTTTTTTATATTATTTATATAAAAAGCAACTCACTACTCACTCTAACAACATATGAAAATATTATACTTATTTATTTAGCCAAGTGATATGACAAAAAAAATACCAAAGTAAAAATCTTTTTTTGCATCTTTTGACAAATTTACCTTAAAACTGCATGCTGAAAACCCATTAATACATTATTAGCCACGTAATCGACCTGCATATTGAAAATATCGAAATATTTGTTTTCGGCATTGAATCAATTTACCGAATCTGTGTTGTACCATATTGATGTCATACAGAAATGTTGTTCACCGATCTGTTAGGAGGACTTAATTCTATTAGATCAGGAAAATTAGCGAAAAAAAAAAGAAACTCGAAACAATTTCTATCCGTGATAGCGATTATTGTAAAATTGTCTAAAGGAACATAATACAAGACATCTCCCATCTCGTGAGTCAAAAAATTTTATTAGCTAACTTTTCTATTTAAACATATAAGTGAGGTAAACAGTTTTTTCACTTTGCAGGGAAAACCATCAATATTAGCGAAAAGTAGGGAATAAAATTATCTACAAAACGAGACTTGTTAAATTAAAATCGGTTAATAAACAAAAAAGTTATTGCAAAAAAACAAGAAAAGTGTCAATTTTTTCATTTGTTTATAACTATCGAATTTATTGTAAAAATTGTATAAAACCTATGACAAGTTGAGGGTTTTGTCATACTTTAAAAGTGTGCCAAAAGTGGGCGCTGTAGATGCAACAGTTTTCGCACAATTCAATTTGTTTATAACGGGGGCTCCAAAAGTTATGAACGTTAAGCCTCTGTACAGGCGTTAATTTTCAACCAAACATGATTCTGAAAGCTTCATTGTAATCTTAAAGACGTAATTAAGCGACCTATTAAAAAATATCACCGTTTTTTTGACATTAACATTCTCAAATTGTGCATTAAAAAACCGTGCGTTTTTCGCTTATAAACAATTTGAATAAAATTGTTGCTATTTATGCTACTTCACCGAAAATAGATGCAATGGATAGCTGGCAAAAAATACAAATTTAAAAAAGTACCCTCTACGACCAACAGGAGCCAAGATAATAATTTTTTTTTTAAATCGTAGCGCAATTGTTTATAAACATTAAGACTTGAATTTTTCGCAAAATAAAGTTTACGACGTAAACTACGATTTCCCGTGAATTGCATTGAAAAATGTGGAAAATTAACGACTCACGAACCCTTTAAAGAGAATGTACTTGCTAAGTAAAATGTTCGGCGTGGTGGTGGGGGAAGCTGGTCCAAGCGAGTCGCGTGCGTGAGAAAAGTGAAATCCAAAGTTCGCTATAAATTTTGCAATATCTCGGCTTCTATTCATCGTAGATTTTTTTTTTATACTGGGGTAGCTCGACAAAAAAATAACAATGGGCATATTTACGAATTCGTAATTTTATTCCCCACAAGCTGTCTTTAAGTCACTTTTCGCTAAAATTGATGGTTTTCCCTGCAAAGTGAAAAAACTGTTTTCCTCACTTTATTTGTTTAAATAGAAAAGTTAGCTAATAAATGTTTTTGTCTCACGTGATGAGAGATGTCTTGTATTATGTTCCTTTAGACAATTTTACAATATCTCGCGGATAGGAATTTTTTCGAGTAAAAATTTTATTTGCTTGGCCTATATAGCAATTATATAATTTTGAACTGTTTAATACCAATTCTCAAATAATATTAGCAGGATTCTATTCTCCTAAATTTTGAATTATCTCTTCGATAAACTATCGAAATTTAGTCCAATAAATACTTTTATTTTTAGGACGGAGTAACGGTCCAAAGTTACCAAAATCAGAATTCATGTAGTAACGGATCAGACCCAAACAACGTGTCACCTGGAGCCGCCGCCGCCGCCGCTGTGGCCGCCGTGGCCCAGGGCTTGAGACAGCAGATGTGCAGCATGGTGGCCGCAGCGCACAGCCAAAGTACGGCACACGACACCAACCCCGTAGCTAGTTTAGTAAATTCTCTGGCCCTGGCTGGCCACTGCGGAAATATGACGATGCCCAGCAACGGGGCACCTCCGATGAGCATGAGTCACATGGCTTCCATGCGTAGCATGAGCAGTCCTGCAGGGAGCATACAAGACTTGAGGATAAGTCCCGCAGAATCTGCACTAGATAGTCCCATATCTTCTCCACTAGGTTTAACAGTCTCCAGTTCCATGGAGCCCGCCATTAATATGAACATTGGTAATAACATGGACGTCGGCATTGGTGTGTCGGGAATGACATACAAACCGGCGAGGTCATTCACATCCCCCAGGCCCGAAAATCTCTTCCAAGAAGACATTGACGATTTGGTCAAGCCAATGCATTCTTCCACTCCACGTCCGAAAGATAGTATGGCCACCATAAAAATGGAGCCTCTAGCAGAGTGTCGCGGCGAATGAACCGAAACAATGTTACAATGTAATGTGATAAATTATTATTAGTTTTAGGGAGAAAGTAACCCTACACATTTTATTTATATTGTTAAAAAAGAAATTGAATTTTAGTGTGTAGTATATTTTGGACAATTTTATATAATTTATCTAGAAGCCAAAGTTTCGGCCAGTTCTATGAAAGACTGTTGTTTATATGTATACTATTATTCTAAATTCAAAATTAGTATTCGATTTATTGTAGTGGTTTGAGATCACATTAGCAGGGAAGAGATATCAACATTCCCCATTCGCTTTACGACAATCTGTTTTTGGAATCCAGATGGTAACTCTGTAGGACTTTGTAACCGTGGTGGAGTTGTGCATTAAATATCCTACAACACTGACATTATATTGTATTCGGGCCTCTTGAGTGTAAAGATTTAAACAAAATTACGACGATATTCTAAATAGATACACTATCCAGGCACCTGTACACGTATACAAATTTATTTTAATTAACATTCAAGTGAATTACATTACAAACGGAATATTTATGAATGCACGAAGTGTGTTCATTAAATGGACTTAATGATGAATCTGTGATATTACGAAGGACTTATAAGTTGCGGTTGTTTTCATTTATTGAAACACGCTAACTTGTTCAGATATTACTTGAGGCCCTATCTTGCAGTGCACCCAAAATATTTTAGGAACCGTATAATTTTAGTTGCATAACAATAATAGTTACTACTTAGTATTGAAAGAAATATGATATGATATACAGGGTGTTTGTAGATAAGTGCGAAATATTTTAGGGAGTGGTTGCCGAAGTTACTTTGTGAAAAAAAGTTCATATAAAACTAGGTCGAAATATGCTTCGTTTCCGAGATAGTGTTTAAATTTTAATTTTTTATTTATTTTTATGAATTATTTCAGTTTTAAAGATTTAAATTTTTTAATAAAAAAAATGGGACGCCACTGACTTTTTCCCGTTTTGATATTATTTTAGAAATCCGCCGTCAATTCTGAATGAAATTGGTCACTTCAATTTTTTTCATAGCATGCACTGTTTTTGAGGAAAAAATAAAACATTTTATTGCAAGTTGTGTATTTTCAATTTCTATTGATACATTATCTAGTAGGTTGCTGTCAATATTTCTTAATAAAAAAATACGTCCATCAAATTTCGAGTCAATATCTTTAAATAAATAAATAATTAATAAAAATAAATAAAAAATTAAAATTTAAACAGTCTATATCTCGTAAACGAAGCATATTTCGACCTATGTTTATATGAATTTTTTTTCACAAAATAACGTCGGCAACCACCCCCTAAAATATTTCGCACTTTTTTACAAACACCCTGTGTAAAAAATGATAATTAAACAGTATTATCCAATTTTTATTAAAATTTTCGACCTATATCGATATCTAAACTATCTAAACTGCTGAAGAAAAATTAGTTCTATATTGAAGTATTACATTTTGGATTTAACAGAATTAAAACTACTAAATTTAATATTGGATTTCTTTACACATAAATTTTCTGAATATAATTATTTTTAGTATTAATTATGTAAATTTATTACAATATTTACATTAGGGTGGCTTAAAAAAACGAATATTTTTTTTCGTGTCTCTTGTGAAAATATGTTACTTTATCATGTTTTAAGAGCCCCCTCAAAAAATCAGCTCAAAAAAATTTTTATAGAGGTCGATGAAGGTTTTTAAAAATTTCCAATATCGTCAAACACTGAATTTTTTAAAAAAAATTTTTTTCGTTACTTTATCATTTTCTAGGTTGAAAAAAATCTCAATTCTGAACATTTCAAGATATTTTAATTTTTAAAGGTCACTCGTAATTATTTTAACTTTCAAAGTAGTGTCCCTATATTTTCGAGCAAGCTCTAAAAATAAATATCAATGAACTAATAATTTTTTTTTATTGAATTTGATGAACAAAAGAATAGAAAAAATTTATGAGACACTTAAATTTTAAAAAATTAAAAAATTATAAATATTTGACTCACAATGTGGTTGTAAATTTTTTAATTTTTTAAAATTTAACTGTCGTGATTTTTTACTATTCTTCTGTTCATCAAATTCAATAAAGAAAAATTATTAGCTCATTGATATTCATTTTTAGAGGTCGCTCGAAAACATTTTAGGTACACTACTTTTAAAGTTAAAATAATTATAAATGACCTTTAGAAATTAAAATATCAATTTGAAATTTTCAGAATCGAGATTTTTTCAACCTAGAAAATGATAAAATAACGAGAAAAAAAATTTAAAAAATATTCAATTTTTGTTGATTTTAGAAATTTTTAAAAATCTTGAGCGACCTCTAAAAAAATTTTTTTGAGTTGACTTTTTGAGGGAGCTCTTAAAACATGACTAACATATTTTCACAAGAGACACGATAAAAAAATTCGTTTTTTTGGGCCACCCTAATTTACATATTTGCAATACCTGAAAAAATTATACAGAATATTTAATATTTGATCTCTGCTGTGCATTACATTCACTTTGTTTTTAAAATATTATCAATAAATATTACAATACGCTTCGGGTTTGTGTTAGTTTAAAAGAACATTTAAACGAAACATGTAACATTCAGCCTCTGACAATTTTACTCTAATAATTAAATAATTATGTGAACATCAGTATTTTAATAGTGGTTTTAAGGCTTATGCTGATATTTAAACTACCATAGTTTTCCAGATTGTTACCCCATAGCCTATATATCGGGTCACCACAGTTACCGATTTACATCACATTTCCCTAGCCTCAAATAGAAATCCTTGACCTGCCCATGTTGCTCTCGGTCTAGGCTCTGTGGGGGCGGATCCGCTATCGAACCCCCTAGATTTGCTCTATTGTTGATTTCGGTTCTTGTTGCTGGTTCTAAGACCACTAAAGACGGAACCGCTCCTCGGACACTGGTGATCCTCTGACAAGTTCGTAGTAGCTTTTGTAACTGGTGACATCCAATGTACCCAAACTTTTCATTCTTCACTTTCGGCATCTTATGATGTGACAGTAGCGAAGCGTTTGAAAGCATTGATTACAACCCGTTACCGATGCTGCTCAAAGGGTAATCGTTGCCTGAGAAGTGGTTCCGTCCGTAGCGGCTCTAGAATTAACAACAACGACTGAAATCAACATCAGGACTGACCTAGGCGTTCTGGTAGTATGTCTGCCCCCACAAAACTTAGCCCGAGAACAACAAGGCAGGTCAAAGGTTCCTAGTTAATACTAGAAAATGCTATGTAAGTCTGTACTTAATATCACTATTTTAGGCTTTTAATAGTTTACTATTTTAAAAGAAATGCAATGAAAGAATCAAAATTCAAATTTATGAAATAACAGCTCGTGCGACAAGTTTTTTTTTAAATTATAAAACGAAGTCTATTCGAATAAGGTTTTTTTAACGTGCAAAATATACTTGTATAATAAATGCAAAGGCACTGTTATAAAGAAGAAATATATTCTTTCGTCTCTAATCTAATATCGGCCTGAAGAAAAGTTGTAAGTAAATTTTAGCTAAGATAAATTTCTTGTAATCGAAGTGGTGTTAATACGAAAAAATTTAACGGCCGCTTTCAAATAAATTATATGTGAAAAGAGTGAAGACTGACGCCAAATTGATTATTTTTTTAAAATGTTTCTATGTCGGGCCATGCAAGATTAACACAAATTAAAAATTATATTTAAACGTAAGATTGTGAATCTTCAACTATAATTTACTCGTGTTTAGTGCAATTTTAAGCAGTTCTGTAGTTCACTTGATGAAATTGATCGTTTAGTTTTATTCCTTGTTTTAATGTACTGTTAAAATATTTACGTTTTCTTCTTGTATATTTTAGTTTTAGGTGTACAGATGCGTTAGATATTTATCTTCATATTATAGGCATAAAGAATTCTCATGTTAACAAACTAGAATTTTATTTTATTAAAAAAATGTAAAAAATATACACCAAAGTTGTTTGATAGTACGAGAAAATATTGTAGGTACAAAGATATATAAATGAATTTATGTATGTGCGTATTACATCACACATTTTACAATACTAGCCCCTACATACTAGCCACTGTGTTGTTTCAGTGCAATAACGTTTCTTCAATTTTTAGTTCGTCGAGAATAACAGGCACACAAAGAATAATCATATACTTTTTATCATAGTATGATACCCCCCTGTATTTTGACCCGCTGAAGACGATGGAGTCGTCAGAAATACTGCAACATATCACGATTTTCCCTATTTTCAAAAAATAGCTCAAAATCAGTGGAAATCTCGATTTTTTTGTTAAAACAGGTAAGATTTTGAAATTAAAGTACACAGACATGTTAACAGAGTCAAAATAAAAACTTTCCAGCCATTTTTAACCAATTTTTAACATTAAATTGCATATGATCCTCAAGAATATAATTTAGAGAAAAAAGTGTAGAAATAAAAAGTTTTTATTTTGATATATAAACAATGTAAAAAAAAACAAATAAACGCGAAATATTCTTTCCCTTTCCCTTTTCTTTTTTTTTTAAGTTTTGGGAATATGTCTTTCCAACATCCTACTATTATATTCATGTCCCAACTTATACCGCCGTTTCCTATCTCGAATATCATCTTTCCCCTTGCTCTTCGCTATAGTCTCCAAGATTTTCCCAAAAGTAATTCTTATGAGAATGTAAGAAGTGCCATTTTACATTCATTAAACATAATTTTTTTAATTTTCCACTAGTTTCTCCACTAACGTTAGTATTCTTACCTTTTTTGCCAAGGAAATTTTCAACGTTTTTTAAACTAAGCCATGCAACTTTATCTATAGATCTTTATCTATAAGATAAAAGAGAGGATGAAAGAAATATAAATTGTAGTTACAAATAGGTACAATAATTTAAGTTTTTGTAGATATACTTTTAATAAAACCTTTTTAATACAAGAAAAATTTACAAAAATAAACTATAAATAACTAAGAAATTTCTTAAATCTATGTGTAAACCTACAAAATTAAAAACGTTTTGTTTCCCCTACAAAATACATACACTATTGGACGAAAG